CTCAAATGGTAGAGCTCTTGCCTTGAGTTGAAGAGCTGAGGGACAGCGCCCAGAGTTCCAGCCCCCCAATCAACAAAATAAATAATAAAAGTTTAAGTGTGATTGTGTGAGGAGACTGATCACAAAGATAATCTAGGTTTAAGTGTGATTGTGTGAGGAGACTGATCACAAAGATAATCTAGGATGAAGAGAGACTGACAGGACAGGGACAGCTTCATTTCCTGTACAGACGATTTGGTTTTTAAACTTGTTTTGGATATAATTTTTGGGTGTCAGAAATGAAATCAGGTTTAGTATTATATAAACCCATGGTGCATCCGTCCAAGCCCAGTAGCTAACATTGGCCCAGTGTTATAAATGATGGACCCTTCCAGGCCCGGCCCCACCTGTGCCCGTCCCTCCCTTCCTCCCCCCTTCGTCTTCTCTCCCTCCCCCCCTCCCCCGCCCCTGTCAGGTAGCCAGAGCAACACAGAATATTTGGTGCACACACTCTTTGCATTTTATCCTGAGCAGATTGTGTGTCTGTGTGTGTGTAGGCACACACATGCAGGCACACACACACACACACACGCATGCATGCATGCACGCATGCACGCACCAGTCTTGGGACTTGAACTCAAGGCTTCAGTGCTGTCTTTAAGCTTCGTTTTACTCAAGGATAGTACTCCACCACTAGAGGCACAGCTACACTTCCAGTTTCTTTGGTAGTTTAGTGGAACTAACAGTCTCACAGAGGCCGGGCACTGGTGGCTCCCACCTGTAACCCTTGAAGCTGAGATCTGAGGATTTCGGTTCAAAGCCAGCCCTGGCAGAAAAGTCTTCAATTACTAAGAAGCTGGAAGTGGTGCTGTGACTGAAAGTGGTAGAGTGTTGGCCTTGAACAAAAACAGCTCAGGGACAGCACCCGGGCCCTGAGTTTAAGCCCAACTGACACTCTCCCCTCAAAAAAAAAAAAAAGAAAAAGGTCCCAGGCTTTCTTGGCCAGGCTTTGAATCACAATTCTCAGATCTCAGCCTACTGAGTAGCTAGGATTACAGGAGTGAGCCACTGATGCCTGGCTTTGAGCAGATTACTTTTTAAAACCTATATACGTGACTAGATAGAGTGGCTCATGCCTATAATCCTGGTTACACGGGAGGTGGAGATGGCGAACTGTGGTGAGAGGCCGCCCAGCACACAGGCTTGCCAGTGCGCCTCAGCCAGCCAGCGGCTGACGGAGGGTGTGTGTCTGTCACAGCAACAGAGGAAGTGTGCACTTAAGGATCATGGTCCAGACCAAGAAAATAACCCACACAGGGCTGGGGATGCGGCTCAGTGGTAGTGCTTGCCTAGCATGCATGAAGCCCTGTTCAATTCCTCAGTACCACATACACAGAAAAAGCCAGAAGTGGGCTGGGAAGGTGGCTCAGTGGTAGAGTGCTTGCCTTGCATGCCTGAGGCCCTGGGTTCGATTCCTCAGCACCACATAAGCAGAAAAAGCCAGAAGTGCTGTGGCTCAAGTGGTAGAGTGCCAGCCTGGAGCAAAGAGAGGTTCAGCAACAGAGCCCAGGCACTAGTTCAAGCCCCAAGACTGGCAAGAAAAAAGAAAAAGAAAAAAACCAACACAGAAAGGGCTGGCACAGTGGACCAAGTACTAAAACGCCATCTTAGCAAGCTTAAGACCCTAAATTAAATCCCCAGTAGTACACCCCACCCCCTCAAAAAAAAATCTGAACGTAATTTTTTAACTACATGTGTGATGTTCCTTCAACATAGAAATTGGGGAGTATACTTGCTTCTTTAAGCTCGAAGCCAATGTTTAAAACAAAAATAAAGGCTGGGTGCTAGTGGCTCACACCTACAAACCTAGCTACTTAGGAGGCTGAAATCTGGAGAACTGAAGTTTAAGGCCAGACCAGGCTGAGACTCTATCTCCAATTAACCAGCAGAAGGCAAGACTGGAGGCCTGGCTCAAGTGGTGCAGTGCCAGCTGAACAAGCACAGGGCCTTGAGTTGAAATGAAAGAGAACCAAAACATAAAACGGAGGCTTGGGGAGTGGGGAGACCCACCCTTTTCCACAGGACCGAGGGGATCTTAGTGCCCCATCACACCTCCCGCCTCCACCCTTGTTTACCGGCCGGCTTCCTAGGCTGAGGTGCTGCTTTTCACTTTGCTCAAACTAAGTGGGCTGGCATTGGCCAGTACCCACGGGACAGGGGGCAGGGCTGTGGGCTTCGCTCTGGGCCCTCCTTTGGAGATGCTGGCTCACCAAGCACAACACCCCTGTGGACCCACTGTGTGCAGCGCAGGAAGCTCCACTGCATGAGGGTTGCGAGCCTCCCGTTCTGATTCTCAGCAAGATGGTGATTGGCAAGGAGAAAGCAATGAGGCGGCGGCGGCGGAAGTACACAGTCCAGCCACCGCATCCAGAGGCAAATCCCAAACATCACTCCAGCACCGCACCAACAACTGTTCTTGAAATAAAACTCAGCCTGTTGATCCTTACATGTTCCAAACCCCTCAGGCCTCCTGCTCCAGCTGCAGCTGCTCACAACCCACTTTCCTTGAGGGGTTCCTGAACAGCCCTCCACCCCCAGATTCAGATCTTCTACCACTGGAACCTCACCATTCAGGTTCTGGGATTGATATTGTCTCTCAAGAGGTCACTCCGCACCAATCTACCTCAAATCACCTTCCCTTCCTCCCCATCCCAGCTCGTCAGTTTCTTTTCTGTTACAGCCCTGATCACTAATTTAATTGATGTCTCCCTAAACTTAAGCCACAGAAACAGAAAATGTCTTGTTCATTTTGCTCAAGGCTAGCACTCTACCACTTGAGCCACAGCGCCACTTCCGGCTTTTTCTGTGTATGTGGTACTGAGGAATTGAACCCATGGCTTCATGCATGCTAGACAAGCACTCTACCACTAAGCCCCATTCCTAGCCCATGGGTGTGTATGGTGGTACAGGTAACTTAACTCAGCCCCTGGGCACTATCACCTAGTTCAAGGCTGGTGGCTCTGCCACTTGAGCCACAACTCCACTTCTAGTTTTTCACTGGCTAATTGGAGATAATAGTCTCATGGATTTTTTTTTTTTACCGAAGCTGGCTTTGAACCAGGATCCTCAGATCTCAGCCTCCTGAGTAGAGGCGTGAGTCGCTGGCACCCAGCTTCTCCTACCACTCTGAGACCTCACTGACTAAGGGGAGTCATTTCCACTGCCTGGCCCACTGCCAACCAGGCTTACAGAGCCACAGTTACTGAGTTGAGGACACCAGCCTTTAAAAAGCACCCATTCCTTCATCTTGCGGTTGGGTATGCACCCAATCAGCTTTCCCTGGAATTACCACTTGGAAGCCAGACGCCAGCCCTCTCTGCTCTCCAGGCTGGGCCTCATTTAGTCTCTAACTCCTCTGGAGAAGCAGTAGGAAGAGCCCTGCTCCCCCTTCCTGAGAACACAGCGCACTGCGAAGCACACCTCTTCACAGAGAGAGTTACAACATTCCACAGAGGGGCAAAAAGCCGGGACTTGGACCTGATACTTCTGAAACAAGTCAAACCACAGTATATAGTATATATAGCAAATGTTAAATGTATACAATACATGATGGATCCTGACAGTAAATATTAACTTATGAAACTGACAGACTACAAAGTTTCATTTATTTTGCTAGGCTGTGTCTACCTTGCTTTGATATTCATTCAAAATGTTTTCTAGAATAACCACATATTAAATCACTAAAAGACTTTACATATTACTTACTTCTGAAGAATATGTGCTATTCTCTGAGTAGAAATAAGACCCAAAGACAGACAAAACAAGAAAATATATGCCAAGTTGTTATAAATATGCTCCCAGGACACTGGAGTCACAATGATAGGCATGAAAGTAAAGGATTGTCTCAGCAAGGCAAGATTTACTTCTGCAGAAGGGTGCACCATCCACCAAAAACCTGACAAGCACACCCACAGGCCCAGCCCCTCTGCTCTGATTGGTTAAGCTCAGGTTCACAATCTGTTCCTGATTGGCTAGTTTGAACATGTATTTATGTAGGGTGACCATTAAAAGAAAGACTCTGAAATAAGGTCAACAGTACACAACTAGTCTCAAAACATAACCACAGGGGCTAGGAAGGTGGCTCAGTGGTACAGTGCTTGCCTTGCATGCATGGAGGCCCTGGGTTTGATTCCTCAGCACCACATAAGCAGAAAAAGCTGGATGTGGTGCTTGGCTCCAGTGGTAGAGTGCTAGCCTTGAGCTGAAGGGCTGAGGGACAGCGCCCAGGCCCAGAGTTCAGGCCCCATGACTGGAAAAAAACAAACAAACATAAACCACATCCTCTATTTCTATAACTATCAAAGGTGTGTTCTCTGAGATGTGTTTCGATCTTGGGAGAAAGAAATCAGCTAAGAAAATCTTACATGGGGCTGGGAAGGTGGCTCAGTGGTAGAGCAGTTGCCTTGCATGCATGAGGCCCTGGGTTCAATTCCTCAGCACGACATAAGCAAAAAGAAAAAAGCCAGAAGTAGTGCTGTGGCTTAAGTGGTAGAGCACTAGCCTTGAGCTGAAGAGCTGAGGGACAGCGCCCAAGCCCAGAGTTCAGGCCCCATGACTGGACCCAAAAAAACAAACAAACAAACAAACAAAAAACCTTACATTTCTGGGGCTGGGAAGGTGGTTCAGTGGTAGAGTGCTTGCCTTGCATGCCTGAGGCCCTGGGTTTGATTCCTCAGCACCACATAAGCAGAAAAAGCTGGAAGTGGCACTGTGGCTCAAGTGGTAGAGTGCTAGCCTTGAGCTGAAGAGCTGAGGGACGGCGCCCAGGCCCAGCGTTCAGGCCCCACGACTGACAAAAACAACAACAAAACTAAAACAAAAACAAACTTACATTTCAAAAATCCTTCCTTATCACAAGAAAAGAAATTCCTCTTTTACTTTCAGGCCAAAGCAGTACTTTTAAGCACTTTGATAGAAAAGGCAGTTTCTCTCACTGCTACATCATGTGATCAATAAAATCAGACTGTTTAGTACATTTTAATTCCAGGCATAACGCGCATGACGGAAGCTAGGAATGTAGCTCGGCAGCAGAACACCAGCCCAGCCTATGGGAGGCCCCGGGCTGGATATCGATCCCCGCAAAAAACAACCATAAAATGGACTATTTAGAGAACTTTTTGATTGGTGGAAAAAAAGAAAGCAAGACGGGTAAATCATCTGCAGCTTAAAATACAAAATCAAGTCCTATCACATCTCATGCATTCAAGACACCCCACCATTGCTGAAAACGCAGGCGATTCTCAGACACAGTATAATCCACTCATGTTAATCGTGTGAGGCCTTCGAAAGGCTCCAAACCCAGCTGAGGCGCTGAGGAGGTAGCTCAATGGTAGAGCGCCAGTCCTGAGTTTCATCCTCAGCACTGCAAGAAAGCGAGACACACGAAAAGCGCCCTATAAAAAAGAGTCTATAACAGCCTCAATATTGCTCCCTCTCAGGCTCCTCCTATGTTCCTGAAGAAGGCAAGTTTGTCTCTGAGGCGTTCGGGCCGAGCCGGACGGAGCGCACGGACACCTCAGTACTGCGGGAACGTGGCGTCGATTTTGGCAGCCCAGGCCATGAGGCCCCCGACCACATCCTGCACCGTCACAGCGTCCAAGCCCTGGGCTGTGCTCAGGGACTGCAGGATCCTCACGGCTTTCTGGGAATCGTTTCCCAGTTTGCAAATCACATAGAGGGGGAGGGCGGCCCCGCCCTGGGTGTCCCGCTTCCCCTCCCGGACGGCTTCTGCCAAGAGGCTCAGGCTCTCCGCATCCCTCCGCTCCAAGTGTTTCAAAGGGATGTGTAGGGCGTGAGGCAGGCGACAGATGTCCACTTCCACCTGAGGCCTGACGTCGAGCAACAGGTGGGGGGCCCCGGAATCCAGCAGCCGCTTGTAGTCGGTCACGGAGACCCGCTCCTCGGGGCTCAGCAGCTGCAAGGCGCGGCACTTGTCGGTGGCCGAGGAGCCACAGAAGGCCTCATAGTCCTGCAGGGCGGTCACGGTGGGCCGCTCCCCGCAGGCCGCGCAGTCGGGCCTGCGCCTCCGCAGCTGAATCGTGCGGAACCGGCCCCCGAGGGCGTCGAAGAGCAACAGGCTGCCGCTGTACGAGGGCCCCAGGCCCGCCGCGATCTTCAGCACCTCCAGGGCCTGCAGGCAACCCAGGACCCCAGTCACGACCCCTAGCACCCCGCCATCGGCGCAGTTGGTCACGGTCTCCGCCGGGGGCGGCTGAGGAAACACGCAGCGATAGCAAGGCCCGCCGTCGTAGTGGTAAACCGTGATCTGGCCCTCGAAGCGCAGGGCGCTGGCCGACACCAGGGGCCGGCCGGCCAGCACGCAGGCGTCGTTCACCAGGTAGCGCGTGGGCACGTTGTCGGAGCAGTCGGCCACCACGTCGTAGCGGCGGACCAGGTCCAGGGCGGTGGCGGGGGTCAGGGCCTGCACGTAGGGCACGCACTCCACCGCCGAGTTGAGGCGGCGCAGCGAGGCGGCGGCCGAGAAGGCCTTGGCGCGGCCGGCCAGGGCCTCGCCGTGCAGCACCTGGCGGGCCAGGTTGCTCACTTCCACCACGTCGTAGTCCACCAGGCCGAGGCGGCCCACGCCCGCGGCC